GAAAAAAAAGTTTTTTTGAAAAAAAAAACTGATTTGACGGTGGATGACGTCACTCGTATTCGTCACAAGACCACACACAATAATCTGTTAAAAAAACAGAAATAAACTCATATACTTGCTATTATTACGTGGTTCAAGAACTATGTGGAAAACTATGTTCCATCGATAAAGGCTGCTAAGTGGTAGAACATAATAGAATGCCCTTAAACGTATCTCAGGATTTAAAGATGAGTGCTCCACTCGGCCAGAATTCAACGATATAAAGAAGAAGAACGATTTATAAAAAACACAAAATCTTTAAACAGCGGCCAAATCCACGAGTAAATCGGATTATTTCTCTGTAAGATGTTCAAAGGGCGTGTGTGGCGCAGTGGTTGGAGGCGCCACTTCGATACCCACGTGGAATCAATCCCCGCGCCCATGACCCACCAAGTCTTCCATCCCTCCGGGGTCTGCAAATTGATACCAGACTTGTCTGGGAGGATAGCGGCACTGGCTCGATACATCGGTAGGCCTCTGCGAGTTATTGTAAAGGCCAGATAGGTATTCAATCACCTCCAACGATACTTAATGAAGTCGAATGCACGGCGCATCCTCCAGAGATTGATCAACGCTGAGAGCTTTATCCTTTATCCTTTTAAGCTGTTGGAATAACTTCTCCTTTAACAGTTCCTTTTTGAGAACGCTATTTGATCAAAATATTCATGAAAACGTGCAGTACAATGAAAATAAAAATGATGAAAAGGCATCAAGTCACTTTCAAAAACAAGATGATAGCCTTCATAAAAAGAAGAAAAAAAGCGAAGTGAGAATATCTAGCTCGTGAAAGGCATTAAATCACTGTCAGAAAAAAATGATAGCCTTCAAAAACAAGAAAAAGCGAAGTGAAGATATCTAGCTCGTGATAGAAATTTTATTCCAATACTATGTTGCCTAAGAGAATGGCAGAATGCTAGAACATTCTTCATCGCCTTCCTAATTCTTGATCAAGGTATTGCTCATCACCTACATCGATCAATTTATATGAAACCTGTGAATACCTGACATTACCATGTAAACTCTGTTTGGTTGGTCTACACTTGATATTCTCAGTGGAAGACTTGTAGAAAACGACGTTAAGGAAGCTAAATAAGCCAAAACGGCTGGTTGTTCATAAATAAGAAATAGAGTAACCGCCTCACATTTGCGAATCAAAAAAAAGTGGGTAATTCGACCAATGATGAAGTTAATACAAAGTCAGTCCTGTGATTACCGTCATTTGTTGGAGAATTTGTTTAACTTTAGGTTCTTCATCGCTCACTAAATGGCAACAGCAGCTGTAGATGAAGAAATGAAGCAATTTCTCAAAGAATAATTTTTCTTCCTGCTTTATTTCTATGTATATAGGCATGTGAAGAAGTTTAATAGAATTTGGGTTAAAGAAGTGACCTTCTGGAAGTGAAGGAAATTCTGGCATATTCGCCACAATTTAATCGATTTTTGGACAACTCTTACAGGTCCGAACCAGTCGAAAGTATAGCAGTTGTCACTTTATGAATTCTAAAGGTTAGTACTAAAATTCAGCTACTCTTCATAAGCTTGTCTTCCATGCTGAGGAAAAGTTTATAGGTCTAATATACACTTTTCGATCTTTTTTTTCTCGTTTTTCTGTTTTTTTTCTTCCGGTTTTCTTCTAAAGAAGCATGGTCAGTGGAAGTGCAGCAGCATGGAGTAAAATATTGCTTGTCGCTTCACCATAGAAGCGAAGAGTCTTAGTCCCTTAGAAGCGGTGATAGCTCTCAGACAATGCCATTGTGGTTGAATCCCACATAGGTGAATGACTGACTTCAGAATAGCATCGTCGTAATAAAAAAAGGATAGAGCTCTCGGCGTTGATCAATCCCTAAGGGATGCGCATTGCGTTCGACTTCATTGCGCATCCTTGGAAGTGATCGAATGCATATATGGCTTTTACAATGACTCACGTTGGTCTGCTGATGTATCCAGCCAGTTTTGCTATCCTCCCAGATAAGTCTGTCACCAATTTGCCGAACCCGGAGGGATGGAAGGATTGGTGGGCCATGGGCGCGGAGATCGACTCCACATGTGTTGCACGGTGTCTCCGACCACTGCCCCACACCTGCTTTACTCCACACGGCTTCGTCGTATTGCTGTTTAATGAGGCCCAAAGATTCCAGCTTCTCTACAAGCGCTTCTACTATCAGCCACAAAATAACATCGTAATCGAGTTTGGTGTTACTTTTTCGGCAAAACAAATGACACAATAAACGGCCGTAATGCAATCATGAATCTCTCGGTTGCGGTTGATGTGAGCAGATGACCATCTATTGTACTTTTCTAGATAGATACACTTATAAAAGATAGACCTGTGACTGGAGCGATTTATAAGTTGAGCGAAGAAAACCAAGGTTGCTATTCTGTTTCATGTTGCTCAGAAAAACATCTAGATAATGGTGTGATAACGAAAATAGGAAGAAACCAACTCAAATATCAAAATGAATAGTCACTTCTACTTCCTTGATACTTGGTACCTGAATGGAGAGTCCTCACTGGTTGTGCGGGCTCCAGCATAATCTTCATATTTCGGAGATTTGCTGGTTAACCCATTGTGGTTCTCCGAAATCCCGAGGTCAACTGTGCGAAAGTCTGCCCCGGCTCCTAACCTCCGCAGGCAGTCGCAGCCCTCGTGGATGAGAATGAGATTTGCCACCATGCGACTTTGATACCGGGACGGTGGTGTATCCTGGTATTGGTTTACTCTTAGCTAGTTTTCTTGATGGAAACGCCGGACTTCTTCTCATTTTGGGAGACCCTGCCAGATGATGAATCTCACGCTGTCCATCGCAGTCCGACACTCAGGAACATTTCCCAGTCACGACGAGGCGGTAAACCGTTAAGAGGAACACTCACTTTTCCTCACTAAATGAGTGGTCGTAAACAACTCCAAGAAATTGACATTTACAAGCGTTGTTTACAATCTTGATAAACTTCGTAAAAAATTAGTAGATTCGCACAAGATTTAAACATCATTTGAAATTCCGGTATGTTCTTGTGCCTCATCCACATGTAGTAATAATACATATCGACTGCTACTAGAAAGTGTGCAGTGTTCGAATGTCATTCCAAAGGCATACTAGTAACGTTTTTCGATTTCTCTCTAATCATTAATTTAGATTTATTCAATGATCATTTTTTTCGGGGACCACCTATGTGGATGATTTGAAGCATTTGGACGAGTTCTGTCGTGCGTTACTTGTTTAGTTGACTACCATGGTAAGTGTATTGTCAAAAATCCGCGCTTAATTCCTTATATTTTCTGCTATCTAAATTTGTTGTGATTTTTTCCTATTCTTTATAAATAGACTTCGATCTGATGAAGTAAGTCTATAATGGAACATCAGTTCGTGACCTGACTCAACATCCTCACGTGGTCATGTTTATTTTCCTACAGCGATCAATATATATGTTTTACAGCACTACTGCCTCCATTATTCTTACACAATACATATATATATATATATATTGCTTATAACATATATATATAACATATATATATATATATATATATGTTGCACCCTATTGATGCGTTGGGGCATAAGGTAGATCTTGGCCACAGATATTCTAAAATTCCCACATGGTTCTTGGTTCGATCTCCCACCTCGGAAAAACGAGGCCCACCATTTGTCCGGGACGGCAAGTTGGTAGAAATTCATCCATGCGGGTAAAATTACAGGAGTGTTGGATCGACAACCACTGTGTACTCATCGGTAGTCAGATAAGTAGTCTATCGGCGACTTCCTCTCCCGAAACAATAGGGGACCGCTCAGGAAGATCGTGAGATTGTTCGTATCCGTAGGATGGAAAGCATACTCAATGACTGGTAAGATTACAGGTGGTAAAAGATTTCTCTAAAAAAATATTGATCTATGAATATTCTAGGAAACACATAAAACCATGGAGACATTTTGACATGTTCATTAACCCCATTGAAGACACTTCGTGTCTTTAGTGCTTCAATTCTGAAATATTGTATTCAGGACCTTAAGAAGACGGCCATTCATTTTGTGGTTGTAAAAGCCAGTTTTTAACTTTTTCCATTATTTCTTTTTAATTTTGTCACCGCAAAGAATTTGTTCTGCAATAAATTTTTTATTCCTATCGCTTGAGAACGTGTAACGCAGTGTTCAGAGGCGCCCTGCAATACACATGGAATCGTTCTCCGCTCCCAAGACTCACCAAGCTTTCAATCCTTCCGAGGTTGGCGAGTTGGTACCACACTTGTCTGAGAGGATAACAGCACTGGCTCAATACATCTGTAGGCCACCGCGAGTCACTGTAAAGGCTAGATATGCATTCAATTACCTCCAAACGATGTTTAATGAAGTCGAATGCATGAAGCATCCCTCAGGAATTGATCAACGCCGAGAGTTTAAATCCTTTTTTTCTTTTCGTCCATCTTCTCTTCTAAGAGTACTCAATAACAGATTACACCTTAATGAATTAAATTGGCAATAATTTTGCCTATCACGATGCTTACCCCTTTTAACTGCAGAAAATATTTGTGTGCATTAATTCCTGTCATCAACCTTCTATTAGCTATGAAATTGATTAGGATTACTGTCAACTTGACCCTTCCATGTCCTAAGGAATGCTAAATTCGCCGAGAAGTCTTCTACTGCTAATAAATAATATAATGACAACCTCTTGTGTGCTTTTCAAAAAGGCGTCGGATTATTTCTGTGCATATCCACAAGATTTGAAACCGTTTCCAATAGAATTATGTAAACAGAACGGCAGCTAACCCGTTTCGATTTGCAAGCGGTAGCCACGGAGATGATGCTGTCAACTAGCTGATGTGTCGGGCAAAGAGATCTAATCTCTTTTATTTTATCTATATTTCGTGATTCCGATTCTTTGAAACCTATGTTGCATCGTAACTCCGCCCATCGCAGCCATACATAAGCTCTGTAAGCTAGACTACTCAAGCGTACCGTCACGAAATGGTCACGGTCAGTTTATATTTTTCTTACACGTTTCCTGATTTTTAAATCTATTCTTTTTATCAGTCGTCTACTACTTTAGCTGCTATTATTCTCATTGCTTACTTCACCAACACTTGGTTGCTTCGGTGGTGGAGGCGGCTCACAATGCTGCCCTCCTACTCAACCAGCTTGTGGAGCACCACCGTGTGGAGGAGCTGTCGGGTAAACGTTTTTCTTAGTTTTTGAGGTTTACTGTATATCAATTCCAGAAGAGTTTCTTTACGAATATAAGACCTACAGAGTTTTATACAGGCTAAGAAACCTTTATTATAAGTAAAGGAAAAGTTATGTTAAAGAAAACGGAGCGTTATTCACATTTCTACATTAGTTTACTCATATTAATGTAGCTTGAAGGTTGGAAATCTTCACAAATGACTTTTTTAATAGAAGTTTTTATTGCTTTTCATCTATGTTACTCTATTACTATGTTCTATTTTAAAAATGTCGTTTTAATAACTTAATGACCACTTCGTGACTGCATAGATTTCCTTGTGTCCTTTACTGTAACAATATCACTCCATTCACATTTCATACTCCACGCCTCAGGGTTAAATTGGTATGACCGAAAAGTACAACTTATAACCTAATATAATTTGTTGGCAATCTCGTGTTTCCTTAATAATCCAGGAAACTGTTGAAATGTATAGTCATCTGATTCCCAGAAAAGTACTTTGCTAGGTGCTGTTTAGAGTGATTTACTTGTAGTTGTATTACTTTTAAACAAAAATAAAATATCAACTCTCTATAGATCGAAGTTTTTTCTCTGATTGTTTTCCAAATCGCCGTGTTCAGCGAATATCCTTTAGTGTTCAAGTGAGAGGGTGAGAGAATCTCCTTGCAACGAGGGTTTCATCACCTAGCAAGGTCATCTAACCTGATTTGGAAATCGACATTTCCATGATGAACACAGTAAACCAGTGGCATGAATCACTACCGTTATCGTGAAGTTACAACTCCTTAGCCGAGCTTCCGCTGAAACGCAAAGGCAGATTCAGGCTGTTATTTATCAGGCCAAGAATATACCACTAAACAGATAATGTGCTGTTACCTACACGACTCTTCATAAGAACGGACCAAGAAGGTATAAATTGTAGAAATAGGACAGCAAAAGTCTCTCTCTGCTGTGTCGGTTGATATCCTCACGGAGTCCTAGTAACTTCCCTTGTGGCTCAGGAACACTATATAATTGTCTACTAATGGATTTCGACGACGATTGAAAAGAAGCCAATACTATCTGCCAGTAACAAACCCTGTAAACTGATGGAAATTAATGTGTTTGTTTTTAAGTTTTTTTTTTGTTTTTTTCTGCCTTTTCAACACTTTCGTTTGACTTCTGAGCTCTTATGCAGTCATTTGTGAGAATAACAATGCTTTTGACAAAAGAACAAAGTAGCGGGAAGAGAACTGAACCTAGCACGGACTAAATCCGAGTCCTGCATCAACTGTCGGAATGTTTTCGCTTCTCTTAGAGCTGTTGCTGTTGGCCTATTGTGTTCGTTAAAAGCTCACATATACTGAATCTATGTGCGTTCCCTAATCCTGGAATAGCTAAAAGCGCTCTATACTCAAGGGACTGTGTTACTCCTCATGGAACCAAAATTAACACGTCGAAACAAATCTATATTACACGCTGACGCTAATTGAAACCTATGCCTTCACATTTCAATATTTCCCCTGTGCTCGGAGAGGTTTCATGTCAATGGTATGTACGAAATCTAAGTAGACAAGCATCATTGGATCTTCTGAAGATTCATCTACAAGAAACCAAGATGCAGTTCTTTTAAAGAATGACATAGACTCTTTATTCTTTTTCCAGAATTTCACCAGTTAACGCTTCAAATATGTTTCCAAGATTTTCATTTGTTGGAAGGTCTTTTATTTAAACATTTTAGAAAAGCTAAGGTACCAATAAATATTAGTAACGGTTTCATTTGAGAGTTTTAAGGAATGACCTTAATGAAAAATTCTGTTTTTCTTCAACGTTCAAACCTTTGCTGGCGTAATATTGCTGTTGCTCCTTTTTCATCTTGTCAGCGGGCAAGTTTTATACAGAAACCACTAAAGTTTCTTCAAAAAGGGAATTGTGTACCTCTGTATCTCTATAAAATGAATTGGTAAGAAACCTATAAAAAAAAGCATTTCACTATGCTTTCGTGCTTGTTGAGGGATGGATACGAAAGAGTGAGTTACTTCTTCACAAAATAGCTCGTCGCCGCGCGTTCGGCGATTATGTTGCACCCGGATCTTGGCGATCTCGCCACGTTGCCAACTCGGCCATAGTAGGCGATTCTTCGCCTTAGCTATTCAGCGGCCGTAAAACTCGCCCACGTCCATATGATAATGAAAACTACGAAAAGCAGAGCGATTCCAATGCGATACATACACCGAGATGATTCTTTATTCGCGCGAATTTTCGAGGACAAATCGAATCGCTTATAACAGCCCTGTACGGACGAATAATCCAGCTTGGCCATGGCACTAGAGAGAAAGTAACAATTGTCTTAGGAAAAAACAGCTTAGGATCCTAAGTAATCCAACATCATGGTCAAATTCATTCACAGCACGATAGAAACCGACTTAACACTTAACAGTTCCGTATCTAGGTTGTTGTACAATTGCCCACGTAATTAGCCAACACGAACTACTCGTCGCCGAGAGTTTCGTGGTAACCATAAACTTAATGTAGTTTTAAAATTAAATTTTTGTAATTAGCTGTCATGTATAAAAAAAGCAAAGGTTGTCTCCTGTCGTATTCCAGCTCTTAAACGTCACACTCATTGAAATGTTTAACACAAATGATACACAAATGGTAGAAATATAAAGACTTATTGTTTGGTTATGGAGGTGTTTGGCTGGGAAGATTGCTGTCAACTTGTCCTTTCGAGGCTATGAGTAAGGCGAAATTCGCCGAAACGTCAGCTTGTACGCAAATAAAGAAATAAAATAACACGTCGTGTTTGCTAAATAGAAATATAAAGAGTTATACAAATGATACATTTTCCGCTTTATCCTTATAAAAGTATCAAAGCTTATTAATGATCGAAATTTACAGATACGCCACATCTGGCGGTGCTTATCCGCTAGCGCCCAGTTCAGGTGGCGGTTATCCCAGAGCTCCTACAGGGTATGCCGCTCCTCCACCTCCTCCACCACCTCCATTGTTGCCACCACCACCACCGCCACCGCCACCGCCACCGCCACCTCTTCTTCCACGGCCACAGCCACCACCACCATCCTATGGTGGTTCGTACAGTGGCTCATATAGTGGACCGTCTCATGGTGGATATCAAAGAGGTGGTCAACTAGGATACAGTGCTCCGGTACGTCTCACTATACGAGCATTTTATCAACTTATCAAATTTGTTCGTATTTTTGTTGAGCAAACGCGAGGTGTTACTATTCTTTGTTCACGATTAAGCTGACGTTTCGGCGAATTTCGTCTTCCTCAGAGCCGCTTTCTATGAGGTTTCTACTAAGTATGTCACGTAGAGACCAACCTCACAGAAATCACGTGGAAGTATAATATATAGATATAGATAATATAATATATATATATAGTATATATAGACATATATATAGACTAATATATAGTATATATAGACATTATACTTTCACGTGATTTCTGTGCGGTTGGTCTCTACGTGACATACTTAGTGGAAACCTCATAGAAAGCGGCTCTGAGGAAGACGAAATTCGCCGAAACGTCAGCTTAATCGTGAACAAAGAATAGTAACACCTCGCGTTTGCTCAACAAAAATACGAAGAAAATCACTTGATCAATGCCGAGGTTAATAGAAAGTCGGTCGTGGCAGTTATCAAATTTGGTTTTCCAGGTTGGAAATGGACCAACTCCAGCTGGTGGAGCATACGCTGACACTGGACCTCAGCGAGGTAACTACGCTCCCGCACCAGCTGCTCGTATTCCTAGCTTCGGAAATGGGCATCGTGCCCCAATAATTTCAATCGAACCTCATGCAGCCATTCAACCTGCCCCATTAGCTCCTGCTCCATCAGGAATTTATTCTCAGCAGCAGGTTGATGCAGCAGGAAGAGGTTATTTCCAGGAAGGTCAAGGTAGAAGTAGCGCTGGTCTCACTCCAGACACAAGTGGGAGACAGGTTAATTTATTGCTTTAATTTCTGTGGGTGAAAGTAAACTATGTGATATTTGTTTAGACTGAAGATTCTAACTACCATCAAGTTGCTCCAGCTGCCGCAAGCCCACATAAACCTACAGCGGTCGGATCTGAATTTGTTCCACCTGCTTCAGTAGATTCCAATCCGTCCCATCCCTTGCCTAGTATAGGGAAGAGCACAGACTACGATAATACCGAGTACGAACAAGAAAAAGAGCAGCCTGCTGATAATTCTATCGACGAAGCAGAGGAGCATGTAAAACCCGTAGCACCGCAATCGGGGTCGTATGTACCTCATCTTGTCCCACACGCTGTTGAGACTCCAGCTCCTTACGCTCCTGCTCCTCAGACCGAAGCTCCATATATTCCACCTGTCCAAACCGAAGCCCCATATGTTCCTCCTGTCCAGACCGAAGCACCATACGTTCCTCCTGTACAGACTTCAGCTCCTGAAACCATATCTCCATACAAACCTCCAGCCCACACCGAAACCCCCTATGTACCTCCTGTGCAAACTCCAGCCCCACAGACCCCGCCTCCATACGTTCCTCCTATCCAGACCGAAGCTCCACATATTCCTCCTCTCCAGACCGAAGCTCCATATGTTTCTTCTGTACAGACCGAGGCTCCATATGTTCCTGCTGTTGAAACTGAAGCCCCATATGTTCCTTCTGTGCAGACCGAGCCTCCATACGTTCCTCCTGTCCAGACTGAAGCTCCATACGTTCCTCCTGTCCAGACTGAAGCTCCATACGTTCCACCTGTCCAGACCCCAGCTTCTCACGTACCTCCTGTAGAGACATCGGCTCCACACGTTCCTCTTGTTCCAACTGCCTCTCTCTATGTTCCATCTGTTGAGACTCACTCAGAATATGCACCACCAGTTCCATCTGGTCCATACATGCTACCAGAACAAACAGAACCACCGTATGTTGAATCAGCGCAACCTTCACAGCCATATCGACCATCAGAACAGTCTCAAATTTCGAATCTACCAACAATACGAACACCCTCCGAGTATGTTTCATTTGAAGAGACTGTATCACCACCTCATGGAAGTTATGAAGAAAACAAGAATGCTCCACGGAAAAACTATGAAGAAGTGCAACCTAGTGATAATGTCAGCGAGCATGAAGAAAAAGGAGAGAACTATGACAACGATGATGGCAATGAGGTGAGTATTATTTAGAATGTGACTTCTTTCTCAGACCGTCTTGTTTGGACAAAATTCTAAGCAAAACAAGTGGACGCGTTCATGAAAGGAGGATGTTCATATATTTTGCAATAATTGATTGATACCAGTAATTTTAGTCAACCTACAAAGCCGAAGAAGCGTCTTTCAAAACCGAACCTGAAGAAACACCGTACAGAAGGAGGAAAGTTTAAATGCCCTAATGAATGTAAGCATACTATCTCGTCTTTGTGATTCTAATGAAGAACGTATCCAACTGGACGTTGATGTTACTGTCTTTAAGAACTTATCGAGCTCTAGCGCTATTCTCTTCTAAACTTCTATATCTGCTCAGCGATATGATATGCTCGCTTTAGCTCACCTATATGTACATTTTTGTTGGCAGAAATTAATTTATGTTCATAATAAAAATTACATAGATAGCAGCAGTCAAATAAAAGCTGGAAGTACTTGTAGCAAATTTACTTCTCAAGAATGTTAGAAATAAATTTAGTATAACTCGTATGAAATGCTGAGATATTTGCAAAACTCCGGACCGCAGGTGTATGCAGTGGTGAACGAACACGCGCTGCTGTCCTTACCGGGGAGCAGCGCACCCCACCACCACACCATCCGGCTCCTTCGTCTTGCCTCTCTCTCAGCTAGCTCTATCGATCTTGGTGTGGGGCCGGATGTTGTGGTGGTGAAGTGCGCTGCTCCCCGGTAAGGACAACAGCGCGTGTTCGTTCCACACTGCATACACCTGCGGTCCGGAGTTTTGCGAATATCTCAGCATTTCATACGAGTTATATTTCGCAACATACCCGGCCATTAAGAAGAAAAAGGCAGTAAATAAAAGGGTTAAATTTGGTATGTTACAAAAGGTTTTTTTATGCTTAAAGTTAAAACAATGTAATGCGGTAACAATATAAACGAAATTCACCGTAGTTGTTAGCTTGGTTAGGAATTAGATAACCTCCAGCCGTTTTATCGCTCGTTCTGTTCGCTCAGTACGCGTGATTAAAGGTGTCCTTCACGATTCATGCGGTTCAATCTGGTCTGGGGTCCAAGTTTCGCAAATGTATCAGCATAATTAGTGTTAAGATATTTGCAAAAGTCGTACCCACGATCTCCGGATCATTTCAGTTGACGAGTGCTTGCTGACAGCATCGTTAGCGCAAAAAAGGTACTGGCTAAGAGAATAGAGAGCCAGGGCTCGGTGGTGTAATGAGTACCACGTGAGGTACTGGAAAAGGTAACCGCTAGTTTAAAACTGGCATAAGGTCCAAGTTCTGCAAATAGCTCAGCATCACTGTAGTCGTATTTCTAAAATTATTGAAAAGGTAAAGTTTTGAAGTATTCCAGAACCGCTTAACTTCCATCCAAAACACATGCTCAAGTTTTCTACAATGTTCTGGAGTGCATGAACGAAGTGCCTTGGCAAATAGCATACGTTGGCCGTTGGCACGCTCCCGCACCCTTAAATCACCCAGGAGGGCAAATTGTTACCAGACTTTTCTGGAAAGATGAGAACACCTGCATGACATATCGATTGGCAGAATGTATTGCTCTTCCCTCAGGGATTCACTAACGATGTACGCTTGGTTCTTTACTCTTTGCAGTTATGATAGAGTAAATGGGCAGTTAGCAATTTTAAATTGGAATAACCTATAGCCCAAGACTGTACTCGCGACAATTAATTAGCTATGGCTGTCGCAATGATAGTGATGCGTTCGTTCAGGTGCATGGTGCTAGTGCCTCTTCGTACCGGCCTCACGAGGTCACTCATTCCCCCTGGGGTCAGAAAATTGACATCATACTCATCACAAGGAGTTCATTCCGTGAAATCTAAACATGATCGCTCGAGGCCGACTATTCCGGGTTTCCAGGGAGATTCGACCAAGACGCTATGCGTTCGAAGATCGTCTTGGATAATGGATGCGAGGTAAGGATTCGGATGTAAGAAGCGCTGCATTCTGCACAAGTCGCGTAAAATAAGGAAATAATTAGCTATGAATCAAGTTTCGATGCTCGTTAGTATCTGCTTTGGAACCAGAGAGAGGCCTTTTTCCTTCATTTCTTATCTATGCTTATGAGCATCACGCACTTGCAAAAAAGTCTCTCCTTAAACACTAAACCTGCTAACTACTGGATTCAAAACTGTTGAGGAGAAAAACACAGTTGGCAAGAAGAAATTTTGAGTCTTAACCTGAAATAATGAAAAGGACTTAATGACCTGTCGCTAAGCCACCTCAAAATCTAGTGTTCCATATCTACCTATTATCGATTTGACTCGCTGCTGATAGACAGATTGTAGGAGTTTGAAAAAGGAAGTAATCCAGAAAAATGGGTTCTGAAGTTATGATAACCTAGAATATCTCATGCCTGATAGTTCTAAGAAATGCAGTGGTACTTTTTAACTGTCTCGATATTATATTTATCACCTTGCGGATTCCAGTACTTCTTACAATCGGTTCGTTTCCTCACATCCGTCATCCGTGGAGGATTTCAGATTTCAATGTTTGCTGAGATGCTTCTTAAGGATTTTGGTCTTCTTCATTACCGACGACAAATTCTTGTCGAACCGATTCTTCCAAAATTTCTGACATAAAATATCCATGTTAATGCTTCTCCAGATCTTCAAAGCAGGCAGCAAATAGCCTCTGGGTACTAGGGAGGAGTTCTTGCCACCCAGATTTGTTTTCGAGACTCAGCTCTGTGTGATTTTCAGTAGATGACTCGTTGTCCTAAATTAAGGCAGTCGCTGATAAAATTCATGAGAAAAAAGAAAAAAGAGACCATAGATGAATTCATTCATGAATTGAACACTTATGCAAATTTTAAACACCACGGACTATCGGGTAGATTTCACGTTTTATCGTTTTCACGCAGCACTATTTTGATTTCCGTTCAGTCCCTCCTAATTTTATCTAATTCTAATTCTAATTTTTTTGTCCCCATTATTATTGTGGTTTTCTAAGCGACCCTCGACATATTGCAATCAATCCACGTCGAAGATTTCTTCGATATCGTTTAGAGATTCGTTTAAGATCTATCGCTATGATTACCTGTCAAATGCATCACCTGTAGCCCCATTCATGGCCGAGTGACTCGAACGGGCGCCAGTAAATCTTCCATTTCTCCCTGTCTCGTGCAAGAGTAGACCAGTGGGTTCTAGTCGGCCCAGGGACTCGTCGAGCATCATATCTCTTCTAGGCTCTTCGTAAAGAACACTGACCATCGGGTCGGTGGTCTTCCTGCAGTACGTTTGGCGTCCCGAGAAATCCAGTCACTAACGGCCATGTACATTCGCTGTCATTCATGCTCATTACCTGTCCGGCCCACCTTATTTTCGACTGTTGGGCGTACAGAACGACATCTTTGATTTTTGATCGCTGACGCAGGGCGGAGGTTCGGATCCCTTCGCTTAGTTGTATGAAACGGGATACTGCTAGCACCGCCCTTTCGACGGGATCCAAAGCTCCGACCTGCGTCAACTATCAAAAATGCGCATTCGATAACGCTGAGTGACATTTCATACTGCTTACGCAGCGACCAGGTTTCTGACGCATGTGTTAGGGCAGGAAGTGCCGTTCAGTCGAAAAGATGGGCACGGAGTAGGGTGTTCTTTCTTCTCTTCACTACAAACTCGATGTTCTTGAAAGCTTCTCAAACCACTCGTTTCCTTCTGCTCAGCTCTCAAGATAAATCATTCATCATATTGATTTCCCGACTTAGATAGACATAACTGGAGCATTCGGAGATATTCGTTGCGTTGGGCGTGAATGGTGCGTACGAAACCATTCCGTTCCTCATGTACATCGTTTTTGTGAGATTTAGTCGAAAACAAGTCTTTCCACAGGCTTTATCAAGGCCGTCAAGCACACGTTCCGCCTGGCTGTTGTTTGGTGTTATAAGGACGATTTCATCAGCAAAGCGAAGGTGATGTAACTGCCGACCATCGACTTTCACTCCCACATTATCCCATTCCAATGTTCGCATGATGTTCTGTATGGTAGCGTAAATAGTTTTGGCGAGATGGTATCGCCTTGCCTAACTACCCTTTTGACGTCAATGTTAATATCGTTCTAGAATGGTGATATCTTCGTTATGAAATTTTTGTACAGCTCACGAAGAATCTTTATGTACTGAGTAGGGACTCCTTGACTATCAAGGGCTTCCGTGACTGCTTCTATCTCAACTGAATCAAACGCCTTCTGTAAATCGATGAAAGTGAGACAGAGTGGTCCTTTGCATTCTCGCGATACTTCAATGAGCCTTGTTATCGTGTGGATGCGGTCCATCGTACTAAATCCTTTTCGAAACCCTTCTTGCTCACAGGGCTGTTTTTCGTCTAGTGTTCTGTCAATCCTGTTTAGGATGACTCGAGTGGAAAGTTTGTAGACGACAGACAGTAAGCAGATTGGGCGATAGTTTCCGATATCAGGTAGGTCACCTTTCTTGAACAATAACACGGTCTTGATGGTCTTCCACTTAGTGACCTTGCATTCAGACAGGTAACGTGTGAAGAGCCAAGCGAGTGTGCTTACGAGGACTGGCGGGAGGTTCTTCAGGTGTTCTGGTCCTATCCTGCCCGAACCTGGTGCTGTTTGTTTTTTTCACAGACGAAATGGCATGTCGGATTTGGGAAGGGAGAATTGGTGTTACAACATATCTATCCTCCTTTATTTCATATGACGGAAGGTGGACGTGGCCATCGAAGAGATCTGAGTAGTATTCGTGGATGGTTTTCTCCATTGCCTTTCTAGACGCTGTAACTGCTCCGTCTGGGCGTCGGGGTGCAATCACTTTGGTCTTTTGGCGAAGCTTCGGTGGGCTTTGCGAGTACTTTTCCTAGCCTCAGCAGCTCCGACCATTATTACTGCTCTTCTTTTTTTAAGTTCTTCTTTTATCGCCTGTCTGCATTGTTTTGCAAGATAGGGCGTTAGTTCACGGTTGCCTGCAGCTCGTGCAACACCACGCTGGCGTATCAGCTCGAGTGTTTCTGGAGACAGGCATATTTTTGTGACTTGCGACCTCCCAGCCTTCATAGCGCTAGCGTGAAGATGTTGAATGAGCCGATCGTATTTTTCGGTGATGTTATCGACAACGGCATCTTCCAAACGGCCGACTAATAAATTGAACAAGTCCCATTTGATGGTGGTTCTGGGATTTTGGTTTTTGAGTTTAACGGCTTTTTCTTCTTTCCGCAAGA